CCCTCCTCCCACCCTCATCCCCTCTGGCACATGTGGGCAGTGGCTTGCCCAAGCCGGCCCAGAGGTGACTCAGGGACTCATGAGTCCACAGCGAGCCCCCTCAGTGGGTGGCTGCTGGGCTCTAGGTCCTTCGGCACCTTTGGCACCTCCAACCCAGCCAGGGTAGGCTGCTGCCCAGCCAGCTGCCACTGCGCATACTGGACAGGCTGCACTGCTGACAGGTCTCAGCCTCCCCATCACTAAACTGAAGCCACCAGGAACAGCCCTGCCCCCGCAGCCTGGCCTGGGCCAGCCCTGCCATGCAGCTGCCTCAGCCAGGCCTGGCCTGGGCTGCGGGGATGGGACCATCCCTGACAGCAGCAGCTCAGTGACAGCCCAGGATCGGCCAGGCTGGCCAGCCATGCACAGAGCCCCTCCTCCCAACCTAGTGGCAGTGCGGGGTGGGGAAGGAGAAGGAGGGGGGAGAGTCCCCCTCCAGCACCAAACAGAGCCCCCCTTCTAGAGGAGGAGGAGGAGGGCAAAGAGTTCCCCTTGGGGGCTGGGCAGCTGTGCACAGAGTCCACCTCCCTGACCTGCCTGGGGCGGGGGAGGAGCAAGGGGAGCAGTACCCCTCTGGGGCTGAGAGCCCCCCCCCCTCCGCCCATATGCCCTGTGGCAAGGGGGTGGCAGCAAGGAGGGATGCTTCTCCATTCCAGCGCAGTGCCTTGGTGGGAGAGGCAGGGGCAATTAACCTCCTCACTGCCCCCTTAGCCTTAATTGGGGCCATGTTGGGATGGTTCCAGTCCGTGCTTGTAGGACAGGGAATGGAGATGGGGAATAAAACCCCTCCTGGGAACCCTGATACAGAGGCTGCTGCCCCTCTTCTTTCTTCTTCCCCAGACTGCTCCAGTGGTGGGACCTGGCGAGATGCTGTTCCAGCATGGCCCCATTAAGGTGAATGGTAGGGAGGGCATTAATTCCTCCCTCCATCCCTTCTGCCCCCAGGGACTGCAGCTGGGGTCTTCTAGCTGCCCGTCCCCTCTGCTGCTTGCAGGCAACAGGCAGACCCCAGCTGCAGTGGTGGGGAGAGGAAGGAGGGAAGAATTAACCCCCTCCCTGCCCACTTTGCCTTGATGGGGCCATGCCTGCTGGTGTTTCCTGACATCCGTCCCTGTCCTACTTGGGCTAGAGAGCAGAGGTGCATGTCCAGCCCTGCTATCTGGAGCACAGAGCACAGCCCAGACCACCAAGTATGCTGGGATGCTGGAGGACTATAATTTAACTTGAACCAGGAAGGGGTCTGGGACAGACTTTGCATAAACCAGTTTGACCCAAATCGGTTAAGTCTGATACTACATTCAGTCAGGTTTATCTTAAACTAGTTTTGGCCATTTTGAAACTGTTTTATGTGCGCTGAACTTATGTTCTGTTGCAGGTTTAAACCAGTTTCTGATCAGTGAAACCAGTTTATGTGTAACTTCTGTCCCTAGTCATTGTCATCATAGTGAGCCCAAGAGCCCTGCCATGAATCATGCCTTTACCCTTTATTCTCACTCTAAGTACACCAAATCCCCAAAATGAGTCACTATAACCACATTGGAGTGTTTCCTGTCTCAGGTGTGCTTATTAGCAGCCAGTGATGGCCATGTAGGCAGCAATGTTGACTCATTTCTGCCATTTGAGACATTGGGAGTGTAAGCCAAGGAGCAATGTGGTTCTCAGAGGTGTTTCTGGCCTCGATACAAAGCTGTCATGAATAAATGTTAAGTTTTTCTATGCAGCCTGAAGGAAAGATTAATATAGAATTTTTTTTCTCTTATAACTGATGCCATTCTTTTCTTATGCCAGTGTTTTTATTATAAGTATTACATTTTATTATCAGACTTGGTCACTGTTGGGCTTATCCCTCAGCTCACCTGAATATTCTTAACTGGAATCAGCAAAACTACTGGGGGTGTGGGGGGCATCACATTTGCTGGATACGTTTGAATCTAATGGCCTGGGTTCAAGGGGCAGCAACCTACAACCATTGGATCTGGGCTGCAGGTATGGGGCTTTGGCAGCAAGGGGCTTTGGCAGTGTCCTCTAGTAGGGAATTTATCCCATGCCATGGCTGGAGAAATGGGGGTAACAGGGGAGCTCCCCACCATAATGTGGTGGCAGCAGCTGGGTCCCAGCTCTTGCCTTCTCACCTCTGACCCACCAGGTGATTCTGAGCTGCAGTCTGAAAAGGTGACCAACTTAGTTCACAATGTCTTCAGAAGAATCATTTCAAATGTCAATGTTCTTGATTTTCAGTTTAGAAAAATGAACAAAAGATAAAGGCTGAAAAAGATAGCTCTTAAACAAAAATGGTTCCCTTCAGTTCAGTGACTAGTGAGCTTTGCTCCTTCAGGATTGCCCTTGGAATCTTGTACGTACAGCAAAAGGGAAATTGCTGCTGTGTACTGAATTATTATTTGTTAGCACCAAGTCACTTCCTAGCTGTCAAGTTTCACATGGTTCACTGACGTTTTCATTTCCTCTGTGTATGTGTGTGTTTGTGTTTTTTCTCTCCCCAGAGATTTGCCTTTTGACTAAGGGCCGCCGAACTGCCAGCGTACGAGCCGACACATACTGCCGCCTGTATTCCCTCTCTGTGGACAATTTCAATGAGGTTCTGGAGGAGTACCCCATGATGAGAAGGGCCTTTGAAACAGTGGCCATCGACAGGCTAGATAGGATAGGTATTATTGTCTTTGATACTCGATATGATTATTAAACTTAACTTTTTTTGGAGCAGAAGGATAAGATTGCATTACTGCTCCTCTACATTAAATGTTTTGTTGACTTATAAATAAAAAATGCTTTAAGAAAAGAATTTTTATCCGGGCTGCTTTTAAATAATAAAAAGACATTACTATGCCTCTTAGAAAGCGGTCACATACTCCTCTGAGATTTATTTTGTACACCTTAATTATCATTATTATTATTTATTTATAATGTTTAGTGCTGTAATACACACAGCTCAGAGCTATATACTTTAGTGACAAATAGATGACGTTTCCCTGTCCAAAAGTCATAGACAAAGACCTGGTTCTGGAAGAAGCTGACTTTTTTCAACACCAACAGAAGCCAACAGGAATTGAAGCTACTCCATGGTTAGTAGAAGGCCATTCCCTCCATCACAAGATGGGCAGTACAGCCTGATTTTCAAAGGTGTGGACACCTGCCACTTAGGTCGCTAGGACATGCTGGCACTCAGAAAATCAGGTTCAACAAGCCCAAGTAGAATGCAATATGATGTAGTAGACTGTCTTAGCTGCTTTAGTTTGCTTTAAATCATAAGCAAATTAGACAAATGTGGATAGATAATTAGCTCAATAGCTGCAAACATTATAAATGGAATACTGTCAGAATGGCAGAAGTTTTCTAATGCGGTTCTACAGAGGTTGGGCCTGGAACTACTAGAAAAAATAAGACAGAATTTACTAGTAGGATGCTGCCATTGGGACTTAAACACTTAAACTAAACCAAAGTGGGGTTGGTTTTAGCAGTGTGTTACAAGTGGAGATATAGGGAATTGAAGCACTTATTATTATTTATTATAGTAACTAATTAATAGAATTTCCAGTCTGAAATCATTTAAGGAATCCAAGCATGACAAAGAAAGAAGAACCAATTCTTTTACTCAAAATAAGAACAATTCCATTGGACTCGTTGCCCTACATCTTCACTTCCAACACAGGAAAAAAGCATGTTGCCTGCATCTTTACAGCTGAAAGTCTTTAGGCAAACCTTGACATTGTTGAGAGAACAGAGATAAAATGTACAGTGGTCATTATTGTACAGCCAGGTAGTACATGAGCAGTGAGTTTATATATTTGTTCACAGACATTTAAACAGATGACTTTTCTCAACATGGTGGTCATTGCTTACAGATGCCTAATAATTATTTCAGAAAATGTGCTAAATAACGCATGTATTCATAACTTAATAATGGTTCAACATTCAGGAAATTAGGACAGCTTGATAACTAGAGAGATCTATATTTTAAACTTGCAGTCTTGTTTTTTCTACCTCTGTTGTTTAGTAAATTGTGATAGTTATATTTTTCTGAATGATTTTAATAATAGTCAAGCTGCTGCAGAAAGCTCAGGTATCCTTGTGTTCAAGAACGTTTTGAACGTGGGCAGCTCAGCTAGAAAGACAGCAGGATTTATGGGTTGCATGAGCAGTATGAGAGCTACTGAAGAAATAACCCCCCAAAGCAACTCTACTGCTTTACAGCTAGGGAAAAAGCATGTTGTCATCCCTCACAGCCTGTGACAATCACTAGTTCAAGGCAGAGCCTAAAACTTCTGCTATGCTGGAAGACAAATGAGGGACTTTGTATTTTACCACTATTTTAAGACACCAGCATGTACTTTAATATCAGGAGTTACAATTCTAAAAGAGTGACAAACTGTCACTGAGCTTCAGACTTGGTAACACATCTGATCTCATACCTCTTTCTTTTTAAAGGGAAGAAGAACTCAATTCTCCTGCAAAAGTTCCAGAAAGACCTCAATACTGGAGTTTTCAACAATCAGGAGAATGAGATCTTGAAGCAGATAGTGAAACATGACAGAGAGACAGTTCAGGCTATTGCCCCAGTTAGCCTACAGCAAATGTCAGCACTGAATTCTAGCAGTACTTCATCCCGCATCAGGACACAGTCGCCTCCTGTTTATACTGCGACCAGCCTGTCTCATGGAAACCTGCATTCTCCAACACCAGGCACACAAACACCTCAGCAAGCTGTCATTCTCTCTCCTTGCTCCTACACTACTGCAATCTGTAGTCCACCAGTACAGAGCCCCCTGGCAGGTCGAACTTTTCAGTATGCATCACCAACTGCTTCACAGTTGTCATTAATGCAGCAGCAGCAGCAGCAGCAACAACAGCAGCAACAACAGCAGCAGCAGCAAAAGCAGCAGAAGGCACCTACTTCATCACAGAAAAATGAAGTTCACAAGAGTACACAAGCTCTTCACAACACTAACCTGACAAGAGAGGTGAGACCTCTCTCTGCCTCACAGCCTTCTTTGCCCCATGAGATTTCTACTCTTATCGCCAGACCTCATCCAACAGTTGGAGAGTCGCTAGCCTCCATTCCACAACCTGTCTCCAGTGTCCAAGGGTCAGGTATGCAGGCTGGGAACAGGGGCACTGTCCCACAGAGAGTTGCTCTCTTCAGACAGATGTCTTCAGGAGCAATTCCTCCTAACCGAGGGGCCACGGCACCATCAGCAGCTCTAAAAAGGGACTCTTCCACAGTCTTAAGCACAGACCTTGAAGGAGACAAACCACGATTTGCTTCAAACTTATGATCCCTGCTAACTGTGAAAAGCAGAGACATTGTAATAAACTGAGCATCATCCCAGGAATATTTTAGCCTATTTCCTAATAGACCCTGGTAGTCTGTTATGAAAACAAACAAACAAAACTTTAGCTAGTTTTGCCCTACATAACGAATGTAAAATATGTGTGTGTATACATATACACATATATCCTAAAAAAGGAGTTTAAAAACCTGTTTAGAGTTCATGTCTTCCTTTCTTATAATCAGCAAAGGAGTCTAAATTTTGTTGTAATATTATTTTTTTTTAATCTGTGTTGACTTTAATCTAATGGATTTCTCTATTTATGAAGAGGTCTCCTATTTTAATGGCGGGGGGGAAAAACTTAACCCAATGATAACTTCATGAAATGAAAATATTATTTATTCCAGGAACTAAACTTAACAGAACAGAAAGAAAACCCTCAACCTAACTAGGAAATAGCAACTATTCAATAATATTTTTAACTTTCACTAATATAAGTTCTGTATACAAATTGTGAATTATTTATTACAGAGAATCCAGTCATAGTCTCCCATTGCTTTTTCCATTTTGGTGCTTTTCATTCAGAACTAGATTGAATAACAGATATACTGCAACCATCTACAGTCAGAGGACAAGATTACCACTGCTCTGGATAATTCTAACCTCAAAACATATAAATCATTCTGTTGTTTCAGAAAACTGGGAGGACATTAATCTTCATATTGCAAAAGACTTTTATGAAGACTATAAATATTGTCATTGTAAATAACTTTTTAGACCCAAACACAAATAGCTGCTGTGTGGTGTACCATTGCAAATTCTTTGTTTAGGAATTTAGGTTCAGCTCTTCACTTCAAAAATTAAAGTTTTAAAATTTATTCAATCTAAGTGCAACACAACTGTTAAATTGTAATGCAGTGGCTTAAAACCTACAATGTTACTTTTACATGCAACATTTTTATGCAAAATTGTACGCTTGATCCTGCAAACTGCTTGTATTTCACCAATCACTTTTCTTCTTCCTTGGCCTAAACAGTGTCTGAAAATATCCCATGCATGCTTTTTTTAAAAACAAGAGCAACAATAAATAGGTTCAGTCAGCCATTGTAGGGACAGGCTTTAGGGTATCTTAGAAAATAATAAACATTCATTAATTGTGGCTACCTTAAAATTCCTATAATGCTGACTTTGAATCATTGATTTGAGTCTAGAAGTGAATTTTTTTCATTTAAAGAATTATTTGTAAACCACAGCTTGATTTAGAATTTCAGGTGCTTTCTGTGTCCTCACTGTAGTTTTGTAGCTGACTGTGGTGTTAATTTAAACAAAATAAATATAATATAGCATCAAGTCTGTCTGGGAATGCACGATTTGCTCTGTGTATATTGTAATAAAATGGATAGTTTATCCTAAGGCATGTAGCATCAAACATAGCCCATAGATATGAGGTTTATTTTTTTTAATGTCTTCAAAACAGAAAGGAAATGGTGACAGAAAGCAGGGTTAAAGCATACTGTTTTGTGAACATTTTATTTTGTTTGCTCATATCTTACATTACCTTGTAATTATTTAGCTTCTCCACAAAGGAAGTCCATTAGTTATCATTTGTGCCTGATGTGTCACATTAAATAGAGATTGAAACTGAACATGTCATAATTCAACTATTATTGATAAAACAGCACTATGGACTTGAATACCAAGCATATATTATATTCTCTAAAACAATATACTAGCCATGCTAAGGAAATGCTTTCAAAGGCAGTCTTCTTTTCCCATTGATGCTGGCTTTATGTTGTATGGGAAAAATTAAATAACATCATAAACTACCCAAAGCAGTGCGTCCAGATATACTTGAGAGCCAAGTAAATTTCTAAAGCTAACACAGCTTGAACCCATGCTGCCTGTTATGCCTTTTACTCAAATGGTACATCAGATACAAACAAATGATCATTTTACAACTTATGTCAATTCCCAGTCACTAACACAGATCAGTGTAATTATCCCATTATCGTGTTGCTGACATCATTAAACCAAATGGCCAAGAATAGTGTATAAGGAAGAGATTTCAAAAAATGATTGAAACATTATGGATACGCTGCAAGACCATTTATTTATCGATAAAATGGCTCTTATTTTATTTTAATACTACTCATAATTCCTGTCCAATTTATTATGATACTATTCTGATCCTTGAAATTGTTTAAGGTTTACATTTGATAGGAGTAATGGGGTTGGTAGTGAAATATTTTTATATATATTCTTATTTTATTTTAAGCACTATGAAGAAACATTAACTCACATGGTCTTTCAGTGAAACCATAAAAATACTTTTTAATGACTTTGTAATAGAGTGGACAATATCTAGGATTTGTATGTTCAAATTCAATAAAAATGGTACAGGGTATAAATTATATACATATATATATGTATGTATGAATGTATATATACTTAGGTTAAGAAACAAATTACACACATTCCTGTAATATAAAGGTCCATTGCTAGTTCCAGAATTGACCTATTTTCTCTGTACATAAGTAAGCCCATAACTATGGAATCTCACATCTGTACAGAATGAAATGTGTTAATGAAAAAGTTGGATCTTACTGCTGCTGGGAAGACAATAGATTAACTGATTCTTACAATAACTGTACGATCAGGGATAAGTTAGAATTTTTCTTTTGTCTTTGCTCAAAGCCATAAATATATATAAAAGGTTATTAATAAATTGAACAAAATATGAAAATAAAACCATGTATATTTTATTGGATCTGAAATGTCTATCAACAAGCATGTTTTGTTTTACAATTAAATAGAAAGCGGATGTCTTACATTTTCATCATTTAGTCATTGATTTAACATGCAGTAGATATTAGAAAAATGTGAATAATTAATGACACAATAACTTCAGAAAGGAAAGGAGCTTCTTATATAGTGTGAACATTCTCTAGATGTGCACCAGATATTTACTGTGCAAGATAGAGCAATCTTTACTCAGAAATGTCTCCATTGCTATAGCTTTTAAACTAATGAACTATAAACTTTAATATATCTCAGTTCTTGAAATACACAATTGGAAACTGATATTTCCTTATTGATAAAAGCTGGCAAATTCTGGCATTCAGTCCAAAAATATATATTTTTTGACAAATTGCATTTCATCATATTTTTCAATGTCCTTTTTAATACACATTCAACTGTCACATAATTTTTTATACTTATTTCAAATGAGCATATTTTAATTTAACTGATTGGAACCTAGAGGCTTGTTCCATTTCAGTTGGTAGTATTATCCCATTGATTTGAAAGGAGCAGTATGCTGCCTGACACTAAATAATTGTAGCCCTGGTAAACTGTAATTTTAGAGATGAATGAGTACTTGCAAATTATGCCCTAAAGTAAACGATGATTCTGTATTTCACAGAACACATTTTCATTCATTGATATTTCAATGATTTTGTATTTCACATTCCTATGGAAAATTCTGGTTAAGCTGCAATCACTGGGAAAAAAAAACTATTGATTTCAGTGAAATCCAGGGAATCACCTATAATCTATTGACTGTCCGGCAATATTTGTCCTGCTTTATACCTTGTTCAGAACCATTGGCCATTCACAGGTATATAAAACATGACATACTTTGCCCCTTTGTTTCCAGTCTTATTACATGGAATGTGAGTTCTGAAGGATATTTCAGGACCTAACAAAGCACAGGGATTTTAACTAAATTTCCATTAATCAGTTCATGTATAGAAAGGCTTCCCTAACCTTGGGATCTGAGTCTCTCTGGTGTATTTACAGACTGAAAAGAAGGTTAGGAGAAAAAAATACCAAAGGAGAACATAAGGTCAGGTTCTCATCTACTACAAGAGGATGGAGTTTCCAAGGCAACTGGAAATGATAGAAATGTCACTTTGTGAGAGCAAGAAATCCAGGGCTATTTCTGAACTATTGAACGAATTGACAAATTGTAGTATGTACCTTCAACCAAAGGAGATGCAACCACAGCTGTGAAGTCTTCAAAATGCTTTCCTCTGCCCATCCCAGCATCACCCCTGTCTTTCTTCATTCAGTTTCATCCATGATCTGATCTTACTTTCCAAACACTGAGCTATCATTGCAGTAAGAGTGTGACGGTTTATGGTAAAAAGAAAAAAAAAGGTGTTCCAAGAAAGGACAAAAGTATACTGACTTGTATAACAGGACTCTCACTTGCAAATCAAGAGGAGTGCTTTTTCCAATCTACTCAGCAATAGTGAGGCCTCACCTGGACTACTGTGTCCAGTTTTGAGCTCCATACCTTAAGAAAAATGTAGACATGTTTTTAAAGAGTCCATTGAAAAGTAATAACATTATTGGAAGCCTAGGAAGCTTCTAATAGGAAGGCTGAAATGCTTCTAATCAGGAAAGACTGAAAAGCTAAGGTTATTTAGTCTGGATCAGAGAAAACTGAGTGGGGATTTGCTGATGGTCTTCAAATACCCAAGGGGTGATTATAGAAAGAATGGAGATGGGACTTTCTCTGTGGCTGTAGGAGACAAGACTAGGTTTAATGGCTTCAAGTTGCAGGAGAGGAAATTTAGGTTGGAGATTAGGAAGATGTTTTTGACTATGAGGGTGTTAAGCATTTGAACAGGCTACCTAGAGAAGTTGTGGAATCTCCATCCCTGGAAGTTTTCAAGAGGAAGTTGGACAGACATTTGGTTGGGATGGTTTAGTTAGGGATGATTCTGTCTTGAGCAGGGAGCTGGACTAGATAACTTTGTGAAGCCCCAACCTATGATTTTATGGTCACAATCCTATGATCCTATGAAGGCCAGGTAATGCTATCTTTGATTGATATATTGCTGGGACTAAAGCCTAGGCTGTCTCAAAAATGGGATGGTTGACATGGACATTAGTTGGCTAGAACTGACCATGTGTTAAAGTAGGAGGGGCATACTCCTTCATTACATTCAAGAGTGGCACCAGCTTCTGTACTGGTTGAGGCTGTAATACAACCTCAGAAA